GGTACGTTATTTAATACTACAAAAATATTTTTGTGTTAGTCATGTGCGTCTATTTCTTTATTCGGTGCAAGTTTGTAATTTGTTTCCGGTTTAGCTCCTGTATGTTGATAGGGTTGTGCAGGCGGCCAGGGTTGTTCCTCGGGCATTCCCTTCGTTTAGAGGGTGGACTACGGGTCTTCTCAAAGCTCGTGAACTAGCTGAGTTGGTGATTGGGAGGTTTGGTGTTGGGAGTATAGATGGGCCTTTTGTTCCCCCTGGTGGCCGTAGTGTTCCTCGTGCTTCTGCTCATGCAGCCCCCCAGGTATATTTTCATTACGCAATTCTTTCTGTTCTACTTTTCTAATGGGTGTATGCATTATGCCATTAATTCTGTGCGGCCATTGTGCAAATACGAAAACTGGTTTATGCCTATGTCAGTGCGTTTTTGTTAGTTTTTTTTTTTTTATTCACGTAACCAATGTAATAATTTTTTCCTTTTATGTGCTGATTGATTGCATGCTGTATGCCTATGGCATTCCGGTTTTTTGTAACATTTTTTTAATTCATTAAACACGCTTTATGAGTTTTAACATTTTTGATATATATTGTGTGGTTATTGTTTACAAATGACCAAACGTTTTATCTTTTTGTATTTTTGTCCAGACCAGTTGTGTTGTTTTTAAAAATAAACTCTTACGTCTACTGTGTGTGCTGGTTGATTATATGATCGTTGCGTTGACGATGTGTTTTGTACTATTTTTTTAAAAAATTACTTTCTCAAATTTTAACAGTTTTTTTTTTTTTTTTTTTAATTTGTTGTTGGTTCTAATTAAGGATTTTACAAATACACACACTCAACTCCAATTATGTGCTGCCCTATTCTGTTTGCAATTATTCATATTCCCGAACATTTGTCACTTTGTGTGTGCGAAATCGAGCGTTACCTATCTTGTGGTCTTCCGGTGGTCATGTATTCTTTAAATACCATAGTGTTATATGATTTATGTTACACGATTATTCTTCTGTGCATTTCTGTTCGGTGTTCGTTTTGATTCTATGATTGTTCATGGTATGGTTTTATTTTTTACTGCCTATTCATTAGTACCTTTAGTTTTAAATGGTATTATATGGTATTACTTTCTTATTTTTCATCGCAACTATTTTAAATATTGCACCCGTTGAATTTGTCCAGGAGCCAGGGGAATTGTTTGTTGCGAAGATTTGCTCATTAGACGCTGCATTGGAAGATGTTGTGCAATTTGTTGGCGTTCACCCTGAATGCTCAACCCAAACTGATAGCGTTTTACGTGTGTTAACCGGTGCACGGAAGATTATTTCGTTGTTTGAGACTCATGCATCTACAGTGTCAGTTAGCGTTGCAAATCCGGCCAGTGACACGCCAACTAGTGGAGATGAGATTTGGAGTAACCCGGAAAGCTTTCAGGTAGTGGATGATGCGGTTAGGGCGGTACAAGATGGTCGCCATCCCTTATTACTCTCTCATACGGGACCATGCATTTCTGATGAGCAGGTGGGCCCTATTATTGATGGGGGCGGGGGTGTGACACCAAGACATGAACGGGTGTCCGTGCATGAGCCATCGGGGGGCCCCGCGACCGAAACCCAAGTTGCTGTAAGTATGTGTGCGGTTATGTCACTCATTAATTCTTCTTGCTATGCAACCATTGGTCATTTTATTGTTCTCTATGCGGTTATCAGGGATGTGATGATGGGTCGTCGCTCGGTTATGGGTTGTCCCAAGATATCCCTACCCAATGTTGGGAGGAGGTGGATGCGATTGTGCGCGAATATGTGGGTGATTCTTCAACTGCTCCAACCGGGGGTAGTAGATCTGCACCTTGTGCACCTGTAAGTATTAGAGTGGATGCCGTTTGTTATCTTTATACCGATTTTCGGCCCACAATTATTCAGTTTCTCTCAGTCCTATCTGACCCAGAATGCTATTGTTAATAGGTGCGTGCGTTACAAGGCCCCGCCTCGGTTGCTCCAAAAGCACAGTCTGTTGGCGGTGCCGGTGCAGACGGGGTCGTGACTGCACGGGGGCGTGGTATACGTATCACAACACCTCACAATGTATTCTCGACTACTCCTGAGGTATTGTGACGCACTGGTTTTGTCTTGCCCACCCTTTTTAATTATTTTTTTTTGTGCATAAATATCCATCTCTGGTTATTCCCATGTCGTAGCAAAACAACACGCTCGGTCCGTGCAAGGGCGTGGGTTCTGGACCCCCAATGCGTGCTGCACCATTCAAGGCTTCACGGCGTCTAGTGCACGATGTCAGTGCTTTGCGCACAATTGATTTCAATTCTTACGCGCCTCTCACGCGGACTCGCGCCGCCAATATGCATGCTGCCAATAATGTTGATCCTCAAGCGGTATATGATTGGGTTAAACGTACTGCTAATGTTGACTTGTAAGTATTTTTTGTTTCTTACATTCTGTGTTTCGAGGGTGTTGACGTATTATGTGTTTATAATTTATTGAATATACTGTTGCAGGAGGGCCGAATTATTTAACTACTGTGGCCGGTCCGCTCGTCGTTGCGAATTTCTCTCATTGTTGGGGGGGAACGAGGTGCTTGTGGGTGTGTTGAGTGTTTGGTCTTGCATTTTGAATGCCCGGGAGAGGTCCAAACCCGTTGGTGCACCAAAGCGGTTATTTGCATCCCCAACCACAACGGTTAGTCAATCCTCGTTTGGCTGGTTGCAGGCTTTTCACATACAAACAGTTTCATTTCGATAGTAATGAATTGTTGTAATGCAGTTGCACTCGGTAGTTGAAATCACAGCCAAATGGTCTCAGCGGTTGCGTTTGTTTTCTGATGCGTTAGAGGCCGATTTGCAGGTGTCGCCATATGAGTTATGGTCGGATATTGACATGGTTAGTGCACGCTATAATCCATTCATTATTTTGCATTTCAGATTTATCTATATGTGCCTTTTGTCTATGTGGTCAGTTGTTTCTCTTCTTAATTTGGGTGCACATGCTACACGTTCTTTTCGCAGTTGTTCTTTCCGATAATAGATAAGGCGCATTATTATGTCGTTGCTGTTGACGTTCGGCGCCAGAAGTTCGATTTCATCGATAACTCCTCTGTGGATGGGGTATCTCTTGCAAAGTACGGGGATACCCCGTCTGTGCTGGTATTTATTTATCCTTCTTATTTGTTAGTTTTTTACTGTTAAACAAATCGCGGTTCGTTATATTATAGTCATCACGGTCTTGATTTGTCGTTTTGACCATTTGTTTTCTTATTACAGAGAGATGTCCTCTCGGTCTTTTTTGAGGATGCTGGTTATCCCGATCTTTATGTCAAGGTGTTGCAACTAATCCCAAAGAGACTCCGAATGTCATGGCGTGATACAAAAAATAAAGTGGATTGTGGTGTTTTTGCTATGCGTCACATGGAGACGTATACTGGTCAGTCTATTGCTGCATGGGATTGCGGTCTTAGCCGGGGTGATGCGCGAGCTCTACTCTCTCTCCGTGTACGGTATATCTATGAAATTCTTATGTTTCCTAAGAATACGCGTCGTCAAATCATTGTCAGCAGTGTGGCCGGTGCTTAGTGACTCAAAGGGGGGGGGGGGGATTGAAAACGTATACCTGGCAGTTGTTCCCCGAATTTATATTTTTTTGCACACTTTAACGTTTTTGGATTTTGTTACGTAATTGGTCATTTTGCTCACCTCGCAAACATTACTCATCAGTCTTTCAATACTTACGTATCTATTTCGGGTACTTATATATTCCGTTGCTTATGTTGTTAGTGCAGTGTAATATTCAGTCCTCCTGCTTTTTACAGTAATATTATCTAATGCTTTGTTTTGAGATACACACCCACTTCTCTTTAACCATATTCCAAACCCCAATCTCTCCCATGCATGCATGCATCATGTTTCGGAAGTGCACATAAAATATCCTTCAAAATTTGATCATATGAACGTGTTAATGGTCTTTCCAAACGTATGCTATGACTCTCACATTAACTCGCACAATCTGGTCAGCTTACAGTTATACATTTTCTACCAAAACGCATATTCCTTAATGTTACTGATTAAATCGAATGGAAACTCGCACGGACCCGGACAATCACTCGCCCACGCCGAAACACAGTCCCATCGTTCAATTACTCTCTTCCAACTTCTTAAACTCTTGCCCAATTTTGATACAAGTCAGACATCCGTGTTGTCGACTCTGCTGTAACGGTTACTATCGCTCGGTCCGGCAGAATCAAAAGATTTATTAAACTTCTTTAGCATGTGTAAACGGTTTCATAAATATAGTATACTTCATTTACAGAATTGCATTTTCCGTGTTACTGTGTCTGTAATTTATACGATTTGTTGTGATCAAAATATAACACGCACTTTTATGCAAGTGCTACCGATATTCTATGCAACGTAGCTTTCTGTTTATTTTTTTATTATGTCGCTTTTCATTTCCAATTTATCACCTAATTCTATTCCTAACCATCTAAAACGTTATGCTACCTCGTTGTAACGATTTCATCTATCTTATTAATTTTGTAACTACTTATATGGCTACTTTAAGCACTGCTGTTGCATGTCCATATCGGTTTTGTTGCTTCAGCTGTAACGGCAAGTATCGCTCGGTTCGGCACAATGAATATATATATATAAACTAACCGGTAACATGCTCACAAATCCGTTATATATTTAAAATCTAACGCCAACATAGTGGTCCTTAATCAGTAAAATTATGTACACTAGTTATTATTCGATTTCTTATACGTTATTCTTTTCATTTTTAACTACACTTAACGCAAATTCTCCTCTTACTATGCGTGTTTCTCATCTTTCGTCTATGCAATAACCATATGAATGTAATTTATCAGGACGCCTACTGCACACGCTCACCATGACACTGGCACATATGATACTCATACGATTCAATCAACAAAGACAATCCAAAAACAATTAATATTCAAAAGTATTTTGTTCTGTTTATTAATTATTAACGGCAAAATGGTTCATCTACTTTCGCGGACAGCTTCTGCTATTATGTCCATCGGCAAGTCCACATGTTTTGCAGGTGCGCTTTTTCTTATAATGCTCCGCCATTGCTAACTCCCTAGCTGATTTCAGTCGTTTGCCAGACCCTTTGGTTTTTGCGACGGGGGGAGGATGCACTTCTATCGCCTTTGGAGTTACGACACCGCAATACGACTCCATTATTGCACGCTTCCCATTTACATTCCAATCGGTCATTTCATCCTCCCCGAATGTTGCTTCGAACCCTTCCATCCACACTCTTATCTCCTTCAATTTTTCTGGTCTTCTTTTAGCCTTGCCCAAACATCTATGGAATATATTCATTAGTTGTCCTTCCTCGATGTTACCTTGCCCAAAAGTGTTGTTACCATTATGTTTATCTCCGTCCGTATCTATGTGGGAGTGTTTCACTGCTTCTCGCGTCCATCGGGGGGTTATATGCTGTGGGGGAATCTCATCGATACGTTCATCTTTGAGTACAACAAAAACATGGCTACAAAGTAAACCTACTCTTGCGTACATTCTGCATGTGCATGCTATGTTGCTTCCATCCTGCACTATGACTGTGTATTGTTGCTCATTTTCATCCTCAACGATATATGTCTTCACCCCGTTTGCCTCAGTGTATGATCGAACCCGACATTTAAAACACCCTGCACTTATTTGCTTTTGGACCTCATAAAAAACAGTCAACGTGTACACTGTTGCGGCTGATCGCTCTATTTGTAGTTGTGTCTCAAAATGTGGTTTATTTCCAAAGCTACTTGCGGTCAATTCAAGGTTGTTCTTTCGTTGCTTTCTTACCGCACCCTCGAAACGGGTGAAAAACTCTACCAGACATAGGTGCTTGTTCATGTTACCCTGGAAAATCCGATTCTCTGCCTCTGAACGGGAAGTGGTACGTAGTAGCCCTCCCATGAACACATCATCGCAAAATGCGGGCACCCATGACGCACGCTCCTCGTACATACGCGTTAGCCATCGGTTTTCATTTAGGTTGTATTTCCCAATTACGGATTTCCACCCAATCTCGAATTCTGTTCTCGTTGCTTTCTCGTTCCAAACAACGCTATTCAATGCCTTCCGGAACTCATTATTTTTTGACATTTGAGCACCAACTTTCTCACCAACCTTAGTCATGATGTGCCACATACAGTAACGGTGACGACTACCGCGAAACACATCTGCAATTGCAATTTTCATAGCTGGGTCTTGATCGGTTATTACTATAGGTGGGACAGCCCCCATTGCATTCTTGAATTGGTTCAATACCCAACTGTATGACTCCACGTCCTCCTTATCAATCAGGGCCGCAGCAAACGTCACACACCGTTTGTGGTTATCAACTCCCGTGAATGGAACAAACACAAGGTGGTACCTGCATCCATTACATACCAATTAATAGGGTGTCACAAATTTGGCAAAACAATTAAATCGCACAGATCGCACACACATTCACATGCATACTACATTCATGCACAAACTTATAGCCACATTCTGCTTATATCATGCGCACATTCTGCTTATTTTTTTATACGAATTAAAATCAACACACTCATATATTATGCGTACATTCTGCTGAATGTCCGGGTGCGTACTTCCAATATACGAATTTAAATCTACGCAATCATCTATTTAAAATAACTTTCTCATACCTATTTGTTTTGTATGTTGCATCAAAGGATACCACGTCGCCGAACGCACCATAGTTCTTCCTCGCCATACCATCCGCCCAGAATACACGAGACAATTGGTCATTTGCGTTCACTTCGTACTCAAAGTACATGTCAGCACAATCTGTTTTCTGCTCAAGATAATTTGATATAACCATTTGCACATCTCCCCACTTCATGTACGCTAATAGATCCCTTCTGTAATTCTTGAAGTCCTGTTGCGTCGCACCAACATTCTGAGGCCCCCCTACGATCTCGGCATATATGTCGTAACTTTTGCTTGCACCAACGTTTGCTTTTTCGCACTTCGTTATGAATTCTTGGTGTGCAATCTCTATTTTGCGATTAACTTTCATAAGTGGTTTTTGGCTTTCCTGGCACAGGCAATGGGTGTGTCGTTCTTCAAATTTGTGTACCGTATATCGCCCGTCGGGGACTATCTTCATTACAATCCTTGCACCGCAACCAACTCTATTAGTAGTCCGCCTTCTCTTCTTCTTTGACCCCCCTGCTTCACCCATTGTTTCTTTGCCCCTATCCTCCTTAAAACCTTGCCTCGAACACACAACATCCTTTTTCAGAACGATACCAAAATCGTTCTTTTTATCCGAACTTCGGCGCACATCAAATCCGGTAGATGCGGCATACATTGTATAAAATTTGATTCCATCTTCTAGTGCGTTAAACATTTGACCTTCATATGGTTTCAGACTACGGTCGCATTCTGTATACCAATAATTCGTACCTCCCGGGCTCATATCCATTCTACAATCGTTGTCTGATTCACTTGCATTGACTTCGTCTTCACTGCCCACACCTGTAACATACATTTCGTATCAATGTTCATAATAATCGACTGGGAATGTTTGCTCATCGAACAAAATTATTACTCTAGGCCTCTGTGGTTATAAACTATTCTTCGTATGCTAATTACTTATTTTGCAACAACCCAAAACCCACATTGCACAAGTTCTCATCCACTTACGGCACAGACTGCTGTTAATACACGAATAACCGTTTTTAAATTATACATGTATGCACATAAAGTACACTACCCGTGATACAGTTTTATAAAGCAACACAAACACAATAATAATCAATACTTCCCTATTATTTTTGATATACATGTGAATGATGCCAGCATTGCATTAACAAATCAACTACCGCAAACTAAACTAATACGCCTAAGGAATCACACATTATACGGACGTAGTTCACACAAACACCGTTAATAAACCAAAATACACGCGAGTATCTCAACACCGTTAATAAAAAATGCAGTTCGTCACTCGCACAAACCTGGAGACGAGTTCGCACACAAACGACTGAACCGGACTACCAAAAAAAAAAAAACAAAACCCAAGCCTGAAAAACAATGGAGGTCTCGCGCACATAAGCAACTTGATATAAGTACAAACTAGAAAACAAACAACACTTCACTAAATGATGCACAGACATGTTTTCACAAAAACAAAAAATAAAAAAATAAAAAAATAAAAAAAAAAATAAGTTCGTCACTTGCACAAACCTGGATACGAGTTCGCACACAACACATTCACCATCTATACTACGTGGTTAATGCACAAAACGAATGTACCGGAACACCAAAACAAAAAAAAAACAAAAAAAAAAAAAATATGCCTGAAAAACAATGGAGGTCTCGCGCACTTAAGCAACTTGATATAAGTACAAACTAGAAAACAAACAATAATTCAATACATGATGCACAGACATGTTTTCACAAAATCAAAAATAAAAAAAAAAAAATAAAATAAAAAATGCACATACCTATGGCCGGAGCCTCCATTCTGAGCTCGATGTTGTGAACAGCCGCTGCTCCGACGAACTCTATGGGGATGGCTTGCGTTTAAGAATCATCACAATAGCAATACTACTACATTACCGCTAATATATATTAGAATCACAAAAAATCGGATGATAATCATGGAATATATTCCATATAATTTCTCACCATAAATACTTATTAGAATACAATTACTTATTCACCCTTATGACTATTCTATCTCCTAGAATCAATACAAATTCTTACTCAATCTCACCATTAAATAATTATTGATCTAATGGATATGATTAGATATCATACACCCATCTAACTATGTGACCTCATGGGATCCGGAGCCTATATATATATATATATATATATATATATATATATATATATATAACACAAATGTAAAAAGAAAAAAAATTAGACCAACCACCTCTACAAGTTCATTTTTAATATTGATGGGCAAATTATGATGGTGCACACGGATGCAAAAACGGCATCCTTTTATTTATAAAAAAAAAATCATTTTCGATTGCCGTTAGTTACGTAAACATATGTTCATAATTTTATTAATTTCAATTCTGAATGTATAGTTATGAAGTTATGGATGTGTAGTTATGCAATTCTGAATGTATAATTATGAAGTTATAGATGTGTAGTTATGCATGCAATTCTGAATGTGTAGTTATGAAATTATAATTTCACATTATGAATGTATAGTTATGAAGTTATGGATGTGTAGTTATGCATGCAATTCTGAATGTATAGTTATGAAGTTATGGATGTATAGTTATGCAATTCTGAATGTATAGTTATAAAGTTATGGATGTATAGTTATGCAATTCTGAATGTATAGTTATGAAGTTGTGGATGTGTAGTTATGCAATTTTGAATGTATAGTTATGGAGTTATAGATGTGTAGTTATGCAATTCTGAATGTATATTTATGAAGTTAATGGATGTGTAGTTCTACAATTTTGAATGTATAGTTATGAAGTTATGGATGTGTAGTTATGCAACTCTGAATGTATAGTTATGAAGTTATGGATGTATAGTTCAAATTATGCACAACATAACGCTGCTAACAACAATCGAAAATGATTTTTTTTTTTTTTTTTTTTTTTTTTTTTTTTAAGTTGGACATCAAAACGACATCGGTTTTGCAACCGTGTGCACCATACATGGTGCACACGGTTGCACAGCATAATGCTCCATATTGATGGGGGAAGGATATCTAGGTCCAAGGTCGATTGGATCTAGGCAGTGGAGGCCCAAAGATTATTGTGTGAGCCATGGTCCATATAACTATATGTACATTATTTTGTATAATGTATATTTCTTACATGAATAATATAATTTTTAGTATATTAAAAATGTACTTTTTATTATGGTTCACACAGCACTGTGTAGACCCTAGCTTGAGAAAGACTATTTAGGTCTATAGAATGGTTGGAAGTTATGGAATAAGTTTAGAAATCCATTACAACACGTTTGGTGCATGGAATGAATTTTGGGGTAATAGGAATGTTATTTCATAAGGAATGGAATAGGCAAGGAATAAAATAGGAATTGTATTCTATTGTTTGGTTCGCGGAAGGAATAGACTTTAAGAATTATATTACAATATTTGGTTGGTTTAAGGAATAGAAATGAAATATATCTTAAAAGACACAAATAGCCTTATGTGTGGATTAATATTTCATAAGTGAGTGTGTAAAGATGGGCGAGATAGTATAAAGTGAAAGAAGGGAAAAGGTAAGGGCCAAATTATTATTTATTGTATAGACTATAGACATAATTGAATTTTCTTGCATTTCTTCTCGTCGTGCGTAAGTCACACCGCATTTGTAGCCGACTTTAGGGTTTCTGCTCCAGTGCTCCGCCCCTACGCGTTGCTCTTCACTGTGATAAGCTTTCCTCCGCCACACCGCCCTCCGCCTCTACTTCCACGGTTCGCCATTGCTGCTCAGGTAACATCTTCCACTAATCGTTGCAGAAACACAATAGATCTCCGATATACGAATAGTATGTTTAGTTGGTTATCATTCCTCAATCAAGTGTCCAGTTTCCAATTCGACTTCATTAACACCCCCAAATGCTACAGTTGTGATGGAATTTCTGTTTGATGCTTGCAGTACTTGTTTCAGCGCCGCTTTATTAATTGGAGACCACACATTTTCTATGGATTGTGTTGATTTCTATTGTCTTTTTGAGGATTCGGATGGGAGGACCATTGATTCGCCTGCTGCTTCAGAATTTGACTTTGTCATTGTGGGTTCTAATGTTGTCAATGGGGATATGTGGATTAGGAAAAGCATACCACAAGGTAATTTTTTAAAAAAAATTATTGGATTCAAACGCATTATTTTGACACTTTTTAAAAAAATCCAGCTTGGATTCAATCACATTATTTGACACTTGTTTTAAAATAATTCAGTGAGTAAATTAGTCTCCATGGTCGATAGTGAAATTAAAACAAAAAATGGAAATACTCTTAAAATAATTAAAACTCTGCTCTACCATGTATGCATGTAAGATATTTTCTAAAGAGTTAAAAGTTTTTTTTTTTTTAAGAAAATCTTTTATTTAATTCTCTTTATTGCCTTGTTATGTAGCAGAGTATTAGTATATATATATACTAATACTCTGCTACATAACAAGGCAATACTTTTAGTCTTACATTTTGACTGCTTGATGGTCGTCACTGCGTTGCATATTTGGGTGCACACGACACCCTGCACATTGTGTGTGGGTTATCTTTTGATTTGTTGTGTCTGGTAAGGGCGTTTTAGTATTTTGCATTATCTCAATGTACGCGTGTGTGTAGGGGGTGTTTTCTAATTTTTGTTTTTATTTTTTTTCTGTCGCTTTTCACTGTCGTGCGTAGCTGGACCATCAGAATGCTCGAACTGAACTGTGGGAATGTTCTTTGTGTGCATTCATAGCTTGATTGCATTGCTATCGGCTTGCATGGTGCGGCTGAATTAGGAACTTCCAACCTATTTCATAGGGGTTCGATTTCTAGGTTCTGTTGTCGATTAAGGAATTTTTATTGGTGTTTGTGGCTTTGGGTAAGGTGGGGGTCATGTGCTTTTGGTCTAAATTCCGGGGTGCGCTGCGAATGGGGGCTTTTAGGTGGGGTTCCTGTGCTTGAACTTCAAAAAAAATTTCTGTTTGATATCAAACCCACGGTTGATGTTGTACATTTTGGAGTAATGTTTCTTTTAAATTTTGGGATCATTATATTATTATTATTATTATTCTTATTAACCACTCATCATCGTGCTAAGGAGTATAAGTTTGGGTATTTATAATGTGCATGAGGGTTGTATTTTGGGGTGAGCAGTGCTCTACACTTACAGGTGTTATGAGGCCAGTGATTTGTTCCTCAACTTTTTAAACAACAGAATTATAATCTGATTAACATTGGTGTATGCTTCTGTTTAGGACCACGCCTCATTTTCATTGAACTTTTTCTTATTTATTATAGGTAGCTAGCTAGCCATTAGCTGCACACCAATTGGTTGTTTTTTCCCATCTTTAATTGGTTTATTCACTAATTATTATCAAACCCACGTTTGATGTTGTACAATTTTTTATCAAACCCATGTTTCTTAGCACCACTCATCATCGTGCTAAGAAGTATAAGTTTGAGTATTGTTGGCATTTAATGTGTTGTGTATAAGTTTCTTTACTACTTAATGTGCTTCAACCTCCTCAGTTCAAAACTTTAAGTTATTGACAACAAATTGTTGCCTAGAGGGATATCAAATGAAAACAAGTATTAGGACGGTCAATATGCTTTTATTAATATTTTATATCTACATCCTAGAATTTAATATTTATAATTCTCAAATTAATTAAACACTACTATAACTATATTCTACCGTTGGAAGAAGCAACTCCACTGGACGTTGGCGGGCGGCGGAAAGAGCGGCCATAAAAGATAATTATGTTTATTTAGCTTGATTGCGGTGGATAATGATATGGGCGGTGGCCCAGAAACAGTTTCGGCTCAGAACTGGCTGAACCTTTGGTCACAAGCAACCTGATTAGATCAGAATTTTAAGGAATTGGCTGAACCTTTGGTCACGAGCAACCTGATTAGATCAGAATTTTAAGGAATTGGCTGAACCTTTGGTCACGAGCAACCTGATTAGATCAGAATTCTAAGAATATTGTTCACAGTGAGTTACATAGTACACATAGTAGTAGATAACAAAACAAACTAGTCGCTCAGAAAGAAAAACAATATAATCAAGCAAATTCTAGAACGGCTAATCAAGCAAACTAGTCACGATGAACTAGAATGGCTAATTGGAAGGAATGCAGGGTATGGAGTTAAAGTTTTAATATGATATTAACCTTTTTTTTAATTTATTGTTTGATATGATATATATTTAACATGGATATATATCTATTTTGTAGTGTCCACAACAACCAGGAGGTTCTGAATGTGGATATTACGTTAAGCAATCAAGGCTTTTGTCTAGAAGAGGTAAAGTAAATTAAATACAACTAAATGTATACTTAAATTATAATACATCAATTAATAAAATTTTCATTGAACTTTACTAAATGTGCCCCTTTTATCAACTGGTATAAGAATGTTCTTAGATGCAAGGGTCCAAATCCCCAGATACTGATATTGATGGTAGCATTTGTTGCAGGGTTGACACTGAACCCACCTAATATCACTCCCCGTGTCAATCGTCAAATATTGTGCCGGAGTCCTCACCCCAATCCTCAATCCTCACTACGTATTCTACAAGCTCGAGATCCCAACCGGAAACAACCTCCGCCCCTAACTCCCCCACCTCATACTCGGTGCCGCTAGTTCTCCGAATGAGGTCGGCGACTCTGTGTGCGTCTCTTTTCATTCGGGATTCGAATCGGCGGCCGAAGTCGGTAAAATTGGAAAAGGGCAATTCATCTCTGTGGAGGAGGTTGAGCTTCCAACTACTTGAATTATAATACTTTAATTAAAGCATTCAAGGCTTGATTGTCTAGAAGAGGTAAGTAAATTTATAATACATTAATTAATATGTTTACTTTCTTCAAAAAAAAAATTAATATGTTTATTAATGTGATTAAATAAAATTTTTTGTAGGTGTTCGAACAGGCAACCCACTCCATAAATAAAATAGATGAAATCTGAGAATTGTGGGCAAAATACTTTGTAGATGAGTGCGTGTAACTTTATTTGGTTTAAACATTATCTTTATTATTATTAACTTAATGTTTATGTTTTGTTAAAGAATTGTATCTTGATTTCAATTATAAATGTGTTATTGTTATTATTGTGTAGTGTCCACAACAACCGTGAGGTTCTGAATGTGGATACTAGCGATACATGTGGGAGATTGTTACTAAGCATTCAAGGCTTGATTGTCTAGAAGAGGTAAGTAAATTAAATACAACTAAATGTATATTTGAATTATAATACATTAATTAATATGTTCACTAATTTGATTAGATAATTTTTTTTTTAGGTATTCAAACAGGCAACCTACTCCATAAATGAAATAGATGAAATCCGAGAGTTCTGGGCAAAATACTTTGTAGATGTGCGTGCAACTTTATTTGTGGTTTAAATATTATCTTTATTATTATTAACTTATGTTTATGTTTTGTTATAGAATTGTATCTTTGATTTCAATTATAAATGTGTTGATTGTTATTATTGTGTTGATAGTATAATTATATTGTGTTGATTATTAATTGTGAAGTATATATAGTTATGTTTGTGTTCATGGTTATTAGTGTTTGAATTTGTTGTTGAATAGATAGGTTTTATTAGTTATTAGTTTTGTAATTTTTTTTGTGAATTTGGAAAATTCTGTACAGGTTTCATTTTGATGAGCAAATAAAATAAGGGAATTATTGTATTTTTAAATGAAATTAAAAAAAAATTTGTTTTCAAAAAAAAAAAAAAAAATTTATCCGACACCCACCGAAAAGTTGCCTATTAAAAAAAATTAGAAACGTTTTTCGTGACTCCAATTGGTGCTTAGGTGTTGCGGATATTAAAATATTAAAAGGCTTTTTGAGCCACCTGCAGCGTAGTAGGTGTCTCGAAAAGTCTATATAAAAAAAATTAAAAAAAATTGAAAAGCTTTCCGCGACATCCTATACGGGTGTCTCGGAAAGCTAACCACTTTCAGAGGTTCTAGAATCTGAGTCACCTGTGTAGGTGACTCGAAAAGTACTTTATAGGTGACTTGAATCCTGTTTTTTGTACTAGTGGAAACAAGGATCACTTGATCTAGACGTATTGATGAGGAGCCATTCTATGCTAAAAATTATCAAAGCAGTAATATCTTCAAATATTGGTCAACCAGTAGGTAATGTTTCAACTTTTCAACTAACTAATATAGAGAAATAGCAAGCACATCGAATTGTAAACATGTTGACAAATATATTGAGTAATTAGCAACCCAAATTATGTATTTTGGTAAGAAATAATATAACATATTATTTCAATTGTTACAAATCTGATATAGATAAAATAGGACATAGGAAGTACAAAACAAGTGCCAACTGTTTAGGTGGGGCGCCTTCGTACTATTGTACTAGGAAGTCTAGCAGTGATGAGAATGGGTTTCTCTAACCGCTGGATTTATAATATAAAACTTCCACTTTTAAAAGAGTTTGAGCACTAGTACAAAACCTTTTATAGTTTAGCAGGTCAATTTACTTCCTCAACATAGTTCATGAGTATATTTGACATTCTTTTGTTTTGGAATTATTACATACATGAGCACAAATTATTACTGATTTAAGGTATTCAAAATCCTTAATTAGAATTTAACATTGAAACTTTGCCTGATAAGGAACTAAGGATTATCACTTTTGATTATAAGTTGGAATACATAGTTAATCTATGCAAAATATTGAGTAAATACCCAAAATGGTCCCTCGACTATAGCTAAATTCACAAATTGGTCCTCAACTTTCAATTTCAACCAATTAAGTCCTTAACTTTGCAACTTTGACACGATTTGATCCTCCATCTATTTGACCGTTTGTTGACCGTGATTGACGATCTCTAGAAGAACCTTCAGCTCTCGTCAGAGCACGTGGAGGCCTCCAGGATGACGTTGCACCGGTTCGGAAACACGTCATCTTCTTCGCTCTGGTATGAATTCAACTACATTGAATACAAAGGGAGGATGAAGAAAGGCGACCGGATTTGGTAGATTGCTTTCGGCAGTGGATTCGAATGTAACAGTGCGGTCTGGAAATGCAACCGGAACCTTAAAAAACCGATGATGGACCATGAAATTACATATATATTCTCAAAAATCACAGTCAACAAACGGTCAAATAGACAGAGGACCAAATTGTGTTAAAATTACAAAGTTAAGGACTTAATTGGTTAAAATTGAAAGTCAAGGACCAATTTGTGAATTTAGCTATAGTCGAGGGACCATTTTAGGTATTTTGCTGTCGTTAATTTAGGGTTATGCGTAACTACGATAAATATAACCACTGGTTTTGAGCTGGAAAAGAACCTCAAAGTAAATTAAAAAAAAAAATTCCTTATAAACTATTTAGCCGAAGATGAAACATTACAAAAATTATGCAAAAATTTAATTAATGTTGTAATCCATTTGGCCCTTAGCGTTTATCCTGGTGAAACGAATCCAATAACAGTAATGTAAATATGTAAAGAGAGAAAGAGAAAGAAAAATAGGCAATAGGTAATGAGAATTTTTATTCATTCATCTATCTCATCCATACAACCACAACACATATATATAATACTAGTTTTTTATCCGCACTGTACGATTGAGATAATGCCCAATGTTTTTTTTTTTTAAATAAGTACTTTAAAGTATATATATATATATATATATATATATATATATATATATATATATATATAGTAAATACAAATGTAACGGAAGATATAATGTAGTCATTAATCACTATCCGTTACATAATCAATACAAATAATGACCACAATACATATATGTATAACATTCCCCCTTGGACATTATTTGACCACGATCTTGCCTCATTAGAAAAGGAAACTTGCAAACTTGTTAGGAAAACCCTATGGGAAAAAACCTAAATGTATATGGATAGAATATTTGAATATATTCAAGCCTCATTAAAAACTTCACTAGGAAAACCACGTGGGAAAACCTAGTTGAAGAAAAGAGTACATAATATTTGTAAAAATCATATATTGTATTGGTTGCCTCATTAAAAATCTTAACTTAAGAAAATCCTGTGGAAAAAACTTAGTTAAGGGAAAAAGAGTACAACCATAAGCCTTCAAGGCATAATCTTCAGGATTTTGGGGTCCTTCTATTTAAGTATTTATTTGCAACTTTCCCCATTGTCATTACTATATCATACTCATGCCTCATTAAAAACCACACTAGAAAAACCCAATGGGAAAAAGCTTAGTGAGGAAAAGAATACATGGTATGTATATGATGCAAAAAGTACAATTGTTAGTTTTTTAAGACCCAATCTACAGGATTGATTCGAGTGAATGTACTTCCCGTCTCCCCCTGAAGATAACAATCTTCAAGTTCTACATGGCTTAAAATAAAGTCATTGTTTCAAAATGTGTAGAGAAGGGATATTGTACAATTTTCATGATTGTTATTAGAGTTTATCATTTTATACTATTATCTTGTGACTCTTTTGGAGTATACGTGGTTCGAATATTTATATAACTTGTTTACTATCCTTCAAATATATCCACTTAGCGATGAAGTAATGGACTTTTGGTCCCCAAAAATATCCTCATTATATAGATAGTCTTTTATCTTTTTTTTTTCCGAGATATTTGGACGACAATTAACGTACTGAAGGATATATTTAGGACATTTTCAAGGAGGGACTTATAGATATCCTTCTAAGAAACGATATTTGAGTTTCCCAATCACATATAACATTACTAGGCATGATAATATACTTTCATACTTTCTTCTTGGGGAGAAAATACTTTTAGTCAATTTATTGACTATAAGAAAGATCATAGTTAGTAACTTACTAACTTTTATACTTCTTATTTTTGTGATTTTTGTTCATCACATTTTTTAAAAAAAATCCAGCAGAGATTTTAAATATAAGTAGCCAGTTACCCATATGAATATGTGATAACTATGTCTATTAACTACATATCTAATTTATTTACTGCTAGTTTTATTGAATAGCGGAATATAAAGCCATGACTAATATTGGGTCTCTACGAAAAACCCTCAACTCGTCTTTTATTAGCGAGTTTTGATTTGTATGCCTTAATTGCTCTTTTCTATCAAAACAGTTAGCACGCTACAGATGTTATACTACTGTTTTCATTTATGGATCCAAATTTAAGCATTTATGAGCAATAGAGGCAAAATATGTTGTCGACAACTGTAACAACTTTGTAAATATCTTTTTTACACATGGAAATTTTGTATCAACCAAATATATGACATTTCCCAGAGTATTTGAATTTGGTTGTTCCGCTTCCCCAGTGTTTTAGTTATTTGGTGCACCTACAATTGTACTAGAGGTTTTCGCCTTCTAGACGAATATCTCCATGATAAAATTTCTATATTTCTGGAGTGACGAAATTTCTATACTAGATCTAGTTTTGTAAATTCTTAAAGCAATAAATTTCATATGCTTCCGGCATAAGAAAAAAAAGGGTAGAGATATTAGTCCTAGTTGGGGATTTTAACTCATAATATTTATGAAATGGACTTTTAGTCACTCCTTATGTTTAGCAAGTTCTTATTTCTGAACTTCTAGTTCAATATAAACTAGTACATGGGTTAGGAAGATTTTTATCTCATGAAATTTTCTCGGCATTTAATTAATTAGGAACTCCAAATCTCCTCCTAATGCCGAGAAAAGATCGTATAATGCATCCAACATCACTGTTGATTATACATACTAAAGGTTGAGCGCAGATAGGGAAATGCATTATGGTGTTGGACCATGTACTAGGCATTTGTGATATGTAGTGGATAAGTATGGTGGTTTCTCAATTCTGGAGGTCCCCAAAATAGATATATTTCCTCCACAATTGTTTAACAAAGCTCTTAAAAAATATGATATATCTTTAAAAGATTGTTTCAAGACAATTAGAGAAACAATTAAAGTACTCAACATACAATGTCGTATGGAGTTGACTCATCAAGATGACATATCATAATTACCATCTATTAATCATGTTTTCTAAAAACTAAATATCACCTGGTAGGTTCCTTTCTTCATTCGGATAAAGATGGCACTTTGTCGTTGAATGTGAAATTTGGATGCATGACATATGTTCTCTTAAATAATTGCCATAAAGAAAATATCACATAGTGATATAAAAATGCAAACGATGGCCAATATAATATAAAAATTATAAAATATTGTCTTTTGAGAAACTGATTTCTTTCAGAATACTGTTTGACAATTGTATGACCATCGTATGATCTCTTCTAATGTTGGTAATTGCCAATGTTGCTTCTCACAGGTTTGACAAGGATAATCAAACTATCATAGATTGTTATTACCACAAACATTGCAATCAAAATAAAATGTACCAATTATTAATCTTGGAGTCTCTATGAACATACATGACTCCAATTCCGCAAGACATGCATTAATCAAATTATTAGCATTAGGGACATTATTTGAAGCAACATTAATCCCAGTGTAAGTGTCATGAGATGCCATGGG